CCATTGTTGGATTAGCTGGACTGCAGCCTGTAAGTCAGTCCAATAAACCCCCTTTATTTAGATAGATAGATAGATAGATAGATAGATAGATAGATAGATAGATAGATAGATAGATAGATAGAAATTCGTTCTATGAGTTCTGCTACTCTAGAGAACCCTGACTAACGCACTGCCCACTGTTGCCATCCTCATCAACATCACCATCCAGTTCCCACAATTTATGCTGTGCAGCCCCAGTGTTCCCTTGCACCCTCTAGGGGCAACTCAGAGGTACTGAAAGCTGCCAAGCACCATGTGGGAGGCAGTTTTAAAGATAGGAAGTGACCGTCATCCCCAAACAAATAAACCCAAGCTAATAAGTCTAAAGAGAACTGATTGGTCCCAGCAACCATTTGCTGTGCCCTCCTTGAGGGCTCATCAGATGACTGGCTCCTTTTGCAACCTTCAAACCATCGTGGCAGCTGCCCAGTGTCTCTGAGTCCAATACCCATTTCGCCTACAGGTCAGCTTATCCCTGTCCAAGGTACCAAGGGCCTGCTGCAGCCACTGCAGATGCTGATCTCTTCCCTTGGAGGTGACACGCTGATGGAGAGACAGACTTAGCAAAAGGATGAAGTGTTCCACAGAGTGTGTCAGCACTGAGGAGGAAAACACTAGGAAGTGGAAGATCTAGCTATAGGTGGGTCATTTGCAACACGGATCAGGGCAGGACTCACAGAGGAGACACCTAGAGCCAAGAGGCTACAGGAGACAATGAAATAGGTGTGGGGAAGAGGGAACAGCAAATGGGACAGGAATGTGTTGTGAGGAGGGGTCTCTAGCCCTGTTGTAATGGTCTGTCCTGTCCCTTTAAGAGACAAGCCCCACCCACTCCCCCCTCCACTGAGGCAAGCAAATCTTCCTTCGGCTTCCAGCCTGAGCTCCTTCCTTTCTGTCTCTCTCCCAAAGAGGTAGCTTCCACATCTCTCCCTTCTCCTCCTTCTCCCCTTCCCCCTCCTCCCTCTCTCCCTCCCTCTTTCTCTCTCTCTCTCCCCGTGTTTCTCTTTCTTTCTCTCTCCCTCTGCCTTTCTCTGCTCTTTCCCCTTCTCCCCTTTCCCCTCTTCTCTCTTTGTTTCTCTCTCTCTCTTTCCTCTTCCCCCTTCTTCCTTTCCCCTTCATAACCCACTAAATAAATACCCACTTTCTCTGCACAGGGTGCCTATCCAGCTCTGTCTCTCATCCACCACAGCTCCTCATGGGACCAGCTGACCCGCCAAACTCTCTCACCCACCATGCAGCTCCCTGCCTGGGATCCGCTGCCCCTTGTGGTTCACTGCCCACTGCTGCCCCTTGGGAATTGTGCCATTTTATTTTTACCATTACACTGATAACTGGAGTGTTTGAGGGGCAGGGAATATAATTCAATTGGTAGTCTTTGCTTAACATGCACAAGGCCCTGGGTTCCATCCCAACACCACAGCACCACACAGTGGTACATACCTGTAGTCCCAGTACTTAGGAGGTACAGACCAGAAGTTCTAAGTATGGACTGCAGAGACAGACAGCTTGGTGGCTAAGAGTGCATGCTGCTCCTGCAGAGAATCTGTGTTCAGATTCCAGCACACACTCAAGACAGCTCCACAGGATCTAACACCCTCTTCCAGCCTCTGTGAGTACATATGCCCACACATAACCATGCACCTACGAAAATGTAATCTCAGATGTTCAAGGCAATCCTTGGCTACATAGGGAGTCTGGGGTCAGCTTGGGATATACAAGTCTCTCAAAAAACAAACAAACAAGACTAAAAAAATGTGTTTGGTAATTATTGCATAAGTAGCTGAAAATTCCAGGGATGGGCTTCAGGGCCACCTGCTCTGGGCTCCACTGATGGCTGCAGGGTTGTCACCTCCCACCTGTTGGCTTCTCTCTCTGTTGCATTTTCTTCCTGGGCTTCGAGATAGGGAGTTACTTCAAGTCCTATGCAAAGAGAAGGGATTTTTCTCAGTATTACCTGAAAATGCCCCAAACACAGCTCACAGGTTGAGTGGGTTCCATCTCTGTCTCTGAATAGTGATTCCTAACCAGTCTCTGGAGCCAGTGAATGTGTGTGGGAGTGGCCAGGTCAGGCACGGGTGGTTGGAAGGAATGCAGAGGATTCTGGGAAGGCAGAGAACCAACATCTTGCAGAATGATCATAACAGCTTTAAAAAAAAAAAAAAAAAAAAAAAACAGCCGGGTGTTGGTGGCACACGCTTTTAATCCCAGCACTCGGGAGGCAGTCAGGCGGATCTCTGTGAGTTCGAGGCCAAGCTGGTCTAGAAAAGCTAGTTTTAGAACAGGAACCAAAAGCTACAGAGAAACCCTGTCTCGAAAATCAAAAAAAAAAAAAAAAAGTCCTAGGTAAGGGTTCATGTGATACAACAGCCTCACAAAGGATGTAGCCCATGTTATAGAGAGAAAGAGGCCAAGAGGAAACAGACAGGAGGCTTTCCTGGGACATGGCGGAAAGCAGAGAGAGCGCACAGCGTCGCTGGGCTGGACTCTAAACCCCCATGCCATCTGTTGACTCAGCCACACAGGGACAAAGGGACTGGATTCCCAAGTGAGGGGAAAATAAGGTGAAGGGGATCCCTTTGGGAAAGGTGAAAATGAAGTAGACAGTTGTGGGCTTGCTCCCACAGGCCCACAGGCAAGGGGTGCTCTCCTACAGAAGGCAAAGCCCAGAAATGGGACAGGAGATCTGGGTGGGGGTGGGCTGCTGCTCAGAATTGGGAGCCCAGAGGCTGGAATGAAGCAGAGTGAGGGGGCACACGACCAGACTGGGACATCTCATCCAAGCTCAGAAGGGTCCCAGTCCCTACTCTTTATAGCAGCTCCAGCCCTGCATAGTGCCTGTATACAGCAGGTGCTCAATTATTTCCTCTATTGTCCCAATGAGGAAGTGGAAGCTCAGAGTAGGCCCGTGGAAGACCAGTACCAGAATCCAGCTGGATCCAGCTGTCTGCCCGTGGAACCCCTAGAACTGTGGGGCTCAGACAGGCAGCCCCTCTGAGTCGGGCCCCATTACAGCTGTCACCTGTTGCCTCTGGTCCTGCGATGGCCAACCTCACGGTCACAGTCTGGCCGCAGAGACTATGAGGGTCTGCTCTCATGGTCTACCCCATCCCTCTCTGGCTCGACTGTGGAATGGGGGAGGATCATGTTCACCTCACAGGAGACCAAGGCCAGACCCGTGCAGGTCAGCCGTTAGGAGAGATTGCCGCAGGGAGGGACACTGGTCACTGTGCCTGGACAGAGGGGTGTCCATTAAATCCTTGCCTAAGTGGGAACCAGTCCCATAAATACCAGCTGCTGGCGCTGGTGGGGAGTGAACCCCGCCTCCTCTCCAAGTTCACCCACTTGTCAATCAGATTTCCTTTCCCCACATGCCAGGCTCCAAATTTCCTATCTTCCCAGCTCCCCTTCATGGCTCCCTCCCCTCCGATTCTCCCCCTCCTGCCCTGCACCTCATTTGCTTGAGCCCCAGGGAGATCAGCAAGGAGGGAGCATGCAGGATGCCCTATGGACTGGGACTCGGCTTCTGGTCTCCTGGGTTGGGATCTTGGCAGGGACACCTTCTGTCTAACACATTAGGCTATGTGTGACTTCAGCATGGCCACCACTGGGGCAATTTTGAACTTAGTGGCCAGGTTAAGCAAAAGCACATTTTGAGGTGGACCAACTCTTCTACTTGGCAAAGAGCTGCATAGAATCTTCTCGGGGTTCTTTGTCTTTAGACCCACACGGACAAGTCCACAAGCCCCACCCTCGGGCCCTGACTGGACTATTTCTGGGCCTCTCCACCACTCTTCCCCACCTCTTTGGAGATTTTAACTAAGGACCCCCATCCTTGCATGAAGAATCAGCCAGGACCTCACAGTCTCATTGGCTCCCCCCCACCAGCTACAAGCATGCCAGTGACAACACCAGGGACCACCACTCAGCCAGGGTCCGCCCTGCCCCTGCCTACTCCACGAATCCCCTGAACAACACCCCACTACCTACAGTAACCCAACCTAACCTTACCTGCGCTGGGACTGAAGCAGCAGAGAAGGCCTCCTGCCTGTGGGCTACACCCATCCTGTCCTGCAGGCATGCAGTTTTCCCATCTCCTCTAGCCTGCCTAGCCCTGGCCTACCTAACCCCTGCTAACACATTCTATTCCAGAGCTGCGTCTAGCCATGCCACTGGGTTTAGGGCCTCATGCGATGTCTCTCCCATGGATTTTAAGCAGGGGTTGCCCCATATTGATTTTGACCTTGTACTCTGGTCACATCTCATCCATCTGACTCAAATCTTGTCCCTGTCCTCATTTTTTTTTTTTACTTCATCTTAGTGGGACTGATATGTCTAGAACTGGGGCCAAGCTTGTGACTGGTACCCACTTGTCACTGGTCCACGAAGGAGTGATATTGTGGAAACCTTGGTGTGCCATTCAACAGCTAAAGTAGCTGCTCACCCACTGAAGCCTCGGGCCTACTCGCCAGCAGGCTGTGGGTACAGGCATGAGCCAACCTAGCTCTATGGCACTGTTGCCCAGGACTGGCCAAGGATCCAAACTAGGAATCCCACCAGTCAACCAAGATCCTGCCCTTAGTGGGAAAGGATACCCGTGCTGAATGATGCCAGCGGTTCCCAGCATCTAGTTTCTGAATAGCCCACCTGTAGCCCTAGCTCCCAACAGAGGCAGGTACCCTCCCCAAGTCATCCTGGCAGCAGCAGCAACAACTGAGGGAGCAGCTGAAGGGTTCCCCAGTGGCACAGCAGAAGGAAGACAGGATGTAGAAGTAGATGTGACATTGTAAAGTCTTCAGGGTCCAGGATCTCAACCCCCTGGCTGAGAACTATAGCTCTGGTAATGGTCGAGAGCTTATATCTGAGGCTTGCAAGAGACACTACCGCTAGGGGGCGCCACCTGCCACTGCTTCCCCCACCTACTCTTGAGACCAGCTTTTGAAGAAGGGTTTGCCTACCTTCCATTTCTGTCCAGGCAGCGCAAAAGAACCCTCCGGCAGTGGCTTGTTGACAGTTTGCTGACTCCTCCACAGGCTTAGACGGAGGAATTACACTTCAGGAGTTTCTGCTTTCCTGTGAATTTTCTGATGGACCTTTCCTCGGGCTTTTGCCACCAAGCCTTCCCGTTCATTATAAAAACATTGTACGTCATGTTTGCTGGTGGATACCTAAAATGAAGAAGAAAAACCACACTACTCACTAAACACACAGGAAGCCCCACTGTCCACCCCGTTGAATGGGGCAGGAGGATGTTTCCTCGGAGAAGGTCTGTCCTGGATGACGTTCCCTGTGACCCAGGGCCACAAGGTGCCTCTGGGAAACTCCTCCGCAGCTTTTCATCCTCAGCCCCAGCTTGTCCTTTTGGGATGGAGCCAACCATCCTAACCAGTTCTTTTCGAGAGAAAATGGCTGGTCCAAGGATGGACCCTGGTCAGGGTTATAAAGTGAGCCAAGATTATTTTCAGAAGCCCTTAAATCTGAGCTCCCTCCACTTTGCCTAAAGAGCCCCACACCTGTGTCAGGAGCGTTAGCTGGATGTGAAGCAGTTGCCAGCTAGCCTGGTTAGGCCTTCCATCCAGATGGCCTTGGCATTTAGAGAAGACAGTGACACTCTCTCATGGGGACATTTAACTACTATAGCCTCGGAGCCAAAGGAAATGGACAAGAAGAGTGCCAGAGCTGGGGGGTGGCCTGAGGGAGCTTCTTGTCCTCAGCGGTCAGTAAGGGATGTGCGGCTCCAAGGATGTAGCGGGGGCTCGCAATTCTGAAGGTGACTGTGCATATGACACTCTCTCGAGTTATGTCTGCTCAAGGTTCCGTCTGTGCCTGAACCCTTTCTCTCCTTGTCCCTGAAGGCTCCTGCCAGGCATTAGCCCATCACTTACAGGGCCATGCCAGGTTCTAGAAAGTGGCTATTTAGCGGCTAGCAGAACCACACATCCGTAGTCTAAGCAGGCAGCTGAGCCAGTGTGAACAGACTTCACGGTGTGAATTCAGCCTTGGTCTCTTCTCCACCATCTTGCTCGTTCACACCTTCAGAGAGCCATGCTTTGGCTTTTCCCGCACCTAGAGCCTAGTTCCCATAGCCTGGAATGGTGGCACACGCCTTCAATCCCAGCACTCAGGAGGCAGAAGCAGCTGGGTCTCCGAGTTCAAGGCCAGCCTGGTCTACAAAGCAAATTTCAGGACAGTAGGAACTTATAAAGTGAGTGCCAGGACAGCCAAGGCTACACAGAAGAATCCTGTTTGGGTGAGGGGAAGGTGCAGAATACAGTCCTAGTTTCCCTTCGAACCAGTGGCTCTGCCATTTCCCCTTCAGTTTTCTCTCAGACTTGCATGGCCTTAAGAGGCACACATAGCCCAAGTCGGGGACTCCAAAGCCCCAGTGTGCCTCAGAATTGCTAGATGGTGCCTGAAACCCAACACCTGGGAACTATATGTTTTCGAGACAGGGTTTCTCTGTAGCTTTGGGTCCTGTCCTGGAGCTAGCTCTTGTAGACCAGGCTGGCCTCGAACTCATGAAGATCTGCCTGCCTCTGCCTCCTGAGTGCTAAGATTAAAGGTGTGTGCCACCTCCGCCCAGCTCACCTGGGAACTTTTTATCAAGCATGCTGGGAGATGCTGAGGCCCAACAGGAAGACATTCCTGCCTTCCTCTTACATCTGGGATCTTCAAGAAGCAACTATGTTTCAAACTCCCTGAGTTGATTGTTCGGTTTCTTTTCTTTTCTCAATATCTTACAGGTATGGGTGTTTTGCCAGCAAGTAGCACATGCAAGCAGTGCTCAGGAAGAAAGAGGACTGGATTAGATCCCTTGGAACCGGAACTGCAGATGGCTATGAGCCACCCTGTGCTGGGAACAGAATCGGAGCCATCTCTCCACCACCACCACCGTCCCCGACTTCTTAAAAGGAAGATGGGATGGATGCCGAGAGCCACTAACTTGGCCTTCTTCCGCCTTATGTACGTGACCAATGCAAGCACCACCAATGTTGTGACCAGGAGGATTGCAGCCATAGCAGCGGTCGCAGTGATGATGTTCTTTTGCAGGAAGCTTAGCAGCTCTCTGCAAGGTAGACTCTCAGTGTAAACATCTAAACAGGAGACACAAGGATCAGTGTAAGCATCTAAGCGTGAGACACAAGGATCAGTGTGAACATCTAAGCGTGAGACACAGGATCAGTGTGAACATCTAAGCATGAGACACAGGATCAGTGTGAACATCTAAGTGTGAGACACAGGATCAGTGTGAACATCTAAGCGTGAGACACAAGGATCAGTGTGAACATCTAAGTGTGAGACACAGGATCAGTGTGAACATCTAAGCGTGAGACACAGGATCAGTGTGAGCATCTAAGCGGGAAGACACAAGGAGAGTATCAAGAGGCAGCCTCAACCATCCCTCCAGGTGACCCACACAACCAAGCCCCAAAACTCAGAGCAGAAGTCAATACACTCGCATGTCAGGCAGCTTCAGAAGTCCAGTTGGGGGAGTTGCTGGCCTTGTCACCAGTGACAAGTTGGGATGCTGAGGGTGTGGGCTGGACAAGCAGCAACACATCCATGGAGAAGGATCAATAAACCAGAGTGTGTGGGAAGCAAGAAGACCAGAAGTGAGGTCCACAGGGAGGCAGGAACGTCCTACTTCAAAGGCTTTGAGAATAATGGAGGTGGGGCTAGGGGTGCAGGTGGATGGTGGCGCACTTGATTCAAATGCAGGAAGCACTGGGTTAAATCTCCAGCATGAGGAACAGGATATTGAGTGAAGGCTTCTCACTGGGCAGAAACATTTCTCTGCTGCCCTCTCCTCCCTGTCCCACCAGCTTCTAGAAACTACTATATATGCAGTCTGCCTTGTGGGGGTTAGGATTGTAGGTCGTGACTGTGATCTTGATTTGACTAAGAGACACATAAGAGATTAGAATAGGCGTGTCGTGTCCCCCCCCCCCCCGCGCCGTGTGTGTGTGTGTGTGTGTGTGTGTGTGTGTGTGTGTGTGTGTGTGTGTGTCTGGGAGGGTGTGTGTCTGGGAGGGTGTTTCCAGAAATGGTTGATTTGAGAGACAGTGCCAGACATGGAGAGATCCATCCTGAATTTGGGTGGTACCATCCAATAGGTGAAGGCCTAAATGGAATAAAGATGGGAAAAGAGGAAGCCAGTCAACGTGGGGGAAATTTTCTCTGTTCTCTGGCCAGCATGTAGCCATGGCTTTTCTCCACAAGGCTTTTCTGCCACGGTGTTCTGTCTCATCAGAGCCTCAGAACAAGGAGGAAGCTGACCGTAGACCCGCACTTCCAAAATCCAGAGCTGAAATAAACCTTTTCCCCTTGAATTTGTTCCTCACAGATATTTGCCACAGTGATGAAAAAACTGATCAAGCTTGTAGCTTGAGAGACTCGTGACTGTCCCACCCTGCAGTCGATATCGCCAGAGATAACCCCAACTTCTGACAGCCTCTAGGGACTTTGAGAAACCGTGAGGGTGCCTTTGGAATGCCACCGAGCGTGGGTTTGAAGTACAAAAACTCATGGTTAGATCTCAAAGGAAGGAGCTCCCAGCTGACATTAGGGGACTCAGGAGCATCTGGATTTCATTTGTAATCTAGGCAAGGGAAGAGGGGGGAGTCGGGGAGTGGGGAGAAGGAGACAGTGACAGGAATGAGCTGGTTCGGTGAGGAGAGACACTGAAGAGAGTGGGGTGATGCAGGCAGGAGGATGCTGCCCAAATGCGTTCTTAGGTTATGGGGGGAAGCTGGAGCCCGACCCTTCATCCCAGCTGCACCAAGAGTATCAGTAAGTCTCTCTGAGGGCTCTGCTGGGAGAACTCAGCACTAGAAAGTTTAAAGTTACATTTTATTTTATGTGACCCTACACTAGCTTACCACAAACTTTTGCAGTTGAACTAAAGATACACTGATTCTATTCAACTAAAATACCACGAAATCAAAAGAAGTGTTCTAGAACCTTCCATACTCGAGACTCTTACTTAGGTCATGCTTTAAGAACAATTAATTACCTGGAGTAACTAATTTTTGGGGTATCTCTCTGTTCACAGTCGACAGTTGATGGCTAACATCTCTGTTGAATAGAGACGATTCCTTATCCATCTCCTCAGTAATAAGTTCTACAAAAGACAAAAGAGAAGTCTAGATCCTGAATGCCCCCTAAAGTCTACATATTAAAGGCTCAATCTGCAGGGGGGCACTCATAGAAGGCTCTGGAACCTTTAGGGGGTGGGGCCTGTGGGAGGTTTTTAGCTCATTGGTACTGTGCCCTCAGAGAGGATTCTGGGATCCTAGCTACCCTCTTTTTTCTCCTTTCTCCTCTACCTTCTTTCCTCTCCTCTCCCCTCCCCTCCTCTTCTCTCCTCTCCTCTCCCCTCCACTCTCCTCTCCCGTCACCTCCCCTCCTCTCCTCTCCCCTCTTCCCCCTCTTCTCTTCTCCTCCACTCTCATCTCTCCTCCCCTCCCCTCCTCTCCCCTTTATCCTCTCCTGTCCTCTCCTCTCCCCTCTCTCCTCTCCTCCCCTCCTCTTCCCTCCCCTCCTCTCCTCTTCTCTCCTCTCTTCTCTCTCTCTTGCTTCTCAGACATGGAATGAGCAGATTTGCTCTCTCACCTACTCCTACCATGTTGCCTTACCTCTCCACGGACCCCCAAACAACATGGACAGCCATGGACTAGAATTTCTAAACCTGTGAGCCAACAGCTTATAAGTTGTTTATCTAGGGTATTTCATTATAGAGATAGGAAGCTAACATTAACAGTTTTACCTACAGTCATTGACCTGAGCTTAATTCTATTTCTATGATAAAGAAGCGTATGTGTGTGCATGCGTGCGTGCGTGTGTGTGTGTGACGTCACACACAGCACATGTGTGGAAGTCAGAGGACAAGCCTTCACCTTTCACTGTTTGAGACGGGGTCTCTTGGTCGTCAGTCATGGTGTCCACCAGGCTGGCCCTGAATCTTCTGGCTTTTCCTGCCCTCACCTTCCATCCCATCACCAGAGCCCCGGGATTACACGTGCATGCTACCACATGCAGCTTTCCGTGAGTTCCTGGGATGCTAGCCTGGTTCTTACATTGCTGTGGCAAGTGCTTCACCCACTAAAGCATCTCCCCAAACCTTTGGTAGCTTCTTCCAGGATCAAAACAAAGAGGAAAAGGGGGATTTAGGGGAGGAGCCTAAGGTGTCTTAAAGTACATCAGCATTTTGGTTTTATTTAGAACCTAACAAATTCACCCTGTCACAGCTAAGGCAATGATTCTCACGGGGACTGTGGGCCCCACTTGAGAGTTTCTGGCTCTACGGGTCTAAGTAGACCTGAGAATGTGCAGGTCTCACAGATATCGCTCCTACCTGTGGGGACCACACTCAGGGTTCTAGCCTGGACTTGAGTGTCTCCATTTGTATGAAATAGAGATGCTATGACTTGCCTTATAGGTGGCAGAACACTTGTGAAAGTCATGTTTAAGCCACAAAGAGCCACACAAAGTAGGAAAATGAACACACCGAGATATTTATCAGTACTTCCAAACTACAGAAAGGTTTCAGAAGAAAGACAGGTTTGGGAATGGGAAATCTGGCATTCTAGCTCTGCCATCGGCTGGCTGCGACTCATTTGAATAGGGAGGCAGGGAAATGGCTGGGAGCATTTGGTCCGGAGAGACAGGAAGACAAGAGAGTTGTCTTTAGCGGGCATGGAAAGGTCCTGGAGACAGTGTTAGAGATGATCTGAGCTGCTCCATGGAACAAGCTGGAACCCCTGTAGGAGCCCTGAAAAGATCGCCATGGTCTGTGTGAGTTGGAAAAGCTACCAAAAAAGCGAATGAGCAGGGAGAGAAACAGTGACTCACGTACCCCCAGACAACCTCAAGTCAAGCTAGGGCCCCATCCCCAGATGGGGGACCCTGAAACCTGGAGAGGAAGTTCAAGGTGAGCTTGCTGAATCTTTGGAGGATTCACAAGGAAAACAAAACCCGTTGCTATGGGTACAAAGGTTAAGTGTGTGGTAAGAGATCCATGACATTCTCATTATTCTTAGAAAAGAGACAGATTCATCGTTCTGCAAGTTGGCTTAGAAAAGTGAGAAGATGTTCAATTCAACATACCCAGCAATCAGTTGGCTTGGAAAATGGCAGCTCCTTAAAGGGACAAGCATCCGGAGACAGCACGTAATGAGTTACACGGGGGCCACCGTGAGGACTGCTTTGCAGAAGGAGTAAGCTTCTGCACAGGGAGAAAGCCAAGTCAGGGAAGGGCTTGGCATCAGCATCAGCATGAGGACCGGAGTTTTCTCCCCAAGAACCCAGGGAAGACAGGTCGCACACCATAGTGGTGTATGTTTGTCATCCTGGTGTTCTGGGGAGACAGAGAAAGGTGGGTCCCTAGGGATTACCCGCTAGCCAGCCTAGCCTACTTGCTGACCACCGGGCAGCCAGTGAAAGATCTGTTTCAAAAAAACCAAGGTGGAGGCTGGTGGGATGGTTCAGCAGATAAAGGTGTTTGGGGCCAAGCCTGAGTTCAAACTCCAGGATCCGTATAATAGAAGGAAAGAAGAGACTCCTGAGTGTTGACCTCTGACCTCCACATATGTGCATGTGTAACCCACCCACACAAAATAAATAATTACAAACATAATTTTTAAAAAGGTGAAAGTTGGGGCTGGAGAGATGGCTCAACAGTGAAACACACTTGGTGTTCTTTCAAAGGACCTGAGTTTGGATCCCAGCACTCACATGGCGGCTCATACTATCTATAACTCCCGTTCTAGGGACTCTGGCACCCTCTTTGGCTTCCATGGGAACCAGACATGCCTGCAGACAAAACACCCATATACATAAAATGCAAATTAATTTAAAATAAAAACAACCATCAATGGTATGGGGGTAGAGAGATGGCTCAGTGGCTAAGAGCACCAGCTCTTCCAGAGGATCCAGGTTCAATTCCCAGCACCCACGTGGCTACTAACAACCATCTGTAACTCCAGGCCCAGAAAATAATCCAACACCCACTCCTGGCCTCTCAGGTACCATGCATGCTCATGACACATAGACACACACAGAGACAAAACACCCATACTCATAAATATAGTTCTTT